CTGCAGCATCGTGGGCAGGGGGCTGCAACATCCCAGCACGGTGCTGGTTGCACTTKCACAGCCTTGCAGTACTGAACCACGCTCTGCAAACCGGGCAGCGCTTGCACTGCGCTTGCCGTGGAGCACAAAAAGAAACTACGCCATTTCCCCAGGCTGCACCCCAGCCACAGCCGAGACACGGCGCAGCGCTCGGGCCAGGCCGGGATCACGGAGCTCAGCTCTGCCCTGCTCTGCGGGAATCAGCCCTGAGCACGCCACTGACGGAGCATCACAGCTCAGGGAGGAAAGGGCTGGAGCACGGGGGTGATTTACCTTCATGTGTTTCCTAAGTGAGCTGGGATGGGTGTAGGATTTGTCGCACACCTTGCAGATGTAGGGCTTGTCCGAGGTGTGGACGTGCATGTGTTTCTTCCTGTCACTGCTGTTGGCGAAGCGCCTGTCGCAGCCCTCAAACTCGCACTTGAAAGGCTTCTCACCTGTGAAATTTAGAAAAGGTGAAGGAGGGCCATTCCTCTCTCCATCCCCACCTGCCTCCTCTYGGGACAATATCTGCCTCGCTTGTCCCCGCTTAGGGATGCACAAGCACCACAACAAATGAAGAAGGGGAAGATGGACAGCAAGGTTTGTTATGGATCAGATAAATTTGGATCAGCCATTATTACTTTTAACTCACCTCCCGCCAGGCCCACACTGGGCTCCAGCAGGGAAGGCGGCTGAGCGAGCTTGGGAAGGAAGAAGACCAGAGATAAATTCAGTMGCTCAAACAGCGAAGATACAAGCCAAAATAGGTTTGCTTCCTGCCTTCCTCCTCTCTTCCCTCCTCCCATGCAGGAGGGCTGAAGGAAAGTCCAGGCTGCAAATAAAAATACTTTGACAAAAGTATCGCCCATTTAATTAGGAGAAACGCCAATCAGGCCTAAAAATAAAAATAAAAAAAGGAACGGAAGTCACCGAAAATGAGATTTCATTAGCATTTCTACAGTTCCCTCCGCACAGCACTCGGGAGGCCAGGCCGAGAGCAGGCAGCGCCGCGCACCCCGCGCTCGGGCGAACGCCAGCCGGTCCACTCTGCGCTCCCCGGAGCCCTGCGTCCCACGGGGGACACACGGACACGGGCCTTACCTGTGTGCGTCCGCTTGTGAATCTTGAGGTTCTCGGAGCGGGCAAAGATCTTGCCGCAGCCCGGGAAGGGGCAGGGGAAGGGCTTCTCCCCTGTGTGCACCCGAATGTGGTTCACCAGTTTGTATTTTGCCTTGAAGGACTTGCCTTCCCGCGGACACTCGTCCCAGTAGCAGATGTGGTTGTTCTGCTCCGGCCCCCCGACGTGCTCCATGGTGACATGGGTCACCAGTTCGTGCATGGTGCTGAAAGTCCTGTCGCAGCTCTTCTTGGGCCGGCTGAGCTGGCTCTCGTCGAGCCACTTGCAGGACAATTCTTGCTTGATGGGCTGGCGCATGTACCGAAAAAATGCCCCAGGGCCGTGGTGGTGATGGTGATGGTGGTGGGCCGCCACGTTCATGCCCATATTCATATTCATGTGGTTGTAGTTGTGGAACTGGGCGCCGGCGTAAGGGTCCGTGCGGGGGCTGGAGACGGCCCGGTAGGGATCCGGCCGCCCGAAGAGGTCCCCGCGCAGCCCCAGGTGCATCTGCCCGTTGTCCACATGCCCGCTGGGGGACGTGTGGCTCGGGCTCTGCTCGTGCAGTCCCGGGAAGAGCAGGTAGCCCGGGGTGTCCGGGATGCCGCCGGGGCCGTGCAAGCCGCCGGGGGAGCCGCCGAAGAGCCCGTGCTGCGCCGTGCCGGACGCGGCGTCCCCGATGCCGGAGCCGCGGTTGCGGAACAGAAAGTCGCGGGTGGAGTTGAAGGCGGCGGCCCCGCCGTAGGAGGGCACCTGGCCGGCGTGGTGGTGGTGGTGATGGTGGTGGTGACCCAGGGCGCTGGCGTAGCCCGGAGCTTGCGGCGTGAACGCCGAGCTCTGCCCGGCGGCGAGGTCGTGCGGGGCCGCGTTCAGCTTGAAGGCGGCGGCGTGCGAGGAGTCCCCGAAGGGACCCAACCCCATACCGCCGGCGGCGCCGTCGCGACCGGGCATCTCGTGGTGCCGGGGCGCCGGGAAGCCGCCCACCCCCAGCGCCGGGAACTGCGGCCCTCCGTCCAGCAGCATCGTCATGGGCACGGGGCCGTCGGCGTGGCGGCAGCCTGCCGGCCCCCCCTCCTCCCGCCCGCCCCCCCAAAAAGTACAAAACCGCCCCGAAACGCAGCCGCACCCCGCCCCCCGCTGCGGGCGGGCAAGGAGGCGAGCAACCCCCGGCCGCCACCAAAACAAAAACGAAAAAAAACCCAAAACCAAACCAAAACAACAGCCCCGCACAGTCACCCGCCCCCCGAGGCGCCCACCCCCCGCGCCGAGCCGGGCACGGCGGCGCAGCAGGGCGAGAGGSGCTGCGCGGCCGCGCTCCCGCTCGGCGCCGTCGGGGCTCTGCCGGGCCGCCCGTCCGCGCCTCGCACATAAACCAACTGCGGGCCCGGCCGCGCCGCGCCAATGGGGAGCCGCGCGCCGCCGGTCACCTGACCCGCCCGCCGCCGCCCATTGGACCCGCCGCGCTTGATTGGCACGCGCCCCGCGCCGCCGCGGCCGCTGATTGGGTGCGCGCGCCCCGCAGGTACGGCGGGAGTGGGGGGGGGGCCCGGACGGGACGGGAACGGAATGGAGCCCTCGGAGCGCGGAGCCCCCTGAGACTCTCTGAGCCCCTCTGAGCCCCTCTGAGCCCGGAGCCCTCGGAGCGCGGAGCCCTCGGAGCGGGGAGCCCCCCGGAGCCCCTCTGAGCCCCTCGGAGCCCCTCGGAGCCCCTCGGAGCCCGGAGCCCCTCGGAGCGCGGAGTCCTCTGAGCCCCTCTGAGCGCGGAGCCCTCTGAGCCCCTCTGAGCGCGGAGCCCCTCTGAGCCCGGAGCCCTCTGAGCCCCTCTGAGCCCGGAGCCCCTCTGAGCCCAGAGCCCCTCGGAGCCCTGAGCCCTCTGAGCCCGGAGCCCCTCTGAGCGCGGAGCCCTCTGAGCCCCTCTGAGCGCGGAGCTCCTCGGAGCGCGGAGCCCCTCTGAGCGCGGAGCCCTCTGAGCCCCTCTGAGCCCGGAGCCCCTCTGAGCGCGGAGCCCTCTGAGCCCCTCTGAGCGCGGAGCCCCTCGGAGCTCCCGCGTGGGGCAGCCCCAGCCCGGCCCGGCCCTGCCCGTGTCGTCCCGGCTCCGTGTGCGCTGCCCCCGCCGCCGCTGCCCCTCCTGCTGCCCGCCGTGTCCCGCCGCCCCACGCCTCGCGGGATGCTTGCCCGGGGGTGTGCGGCGAGGAGGCGTAAAGCCGCTGCAAAGCCGCCGCGTTAATTAAAAATAATAATAAAAAAAATTAAAATAAAGCCGAGACTGTTTATAGTTTATTTTTATATATGTACATGCATATTTAGATATTTGTTTTATTGTTCAGTGCATTTTTATTTTTATTGACTGAACGCGAGAGCAGAACCGCGCGCAGCACRCACGGAAAGCGCGCTCCCGCCCCTCGGCCCCGGGCGCTGCCTGACCGGACCCGGGCTTCACCCCGGGCTTCACTCCAGCCCCGTTTCCATCCCCTCGCTCCGTTCCCCACTCTGCGCCGAGCCTGGAGTGCGGCCGAGCAGAGCCCGGCACGGCGGCTCCCGAGATGGCTTTTTCCTACTCTCGTTTATCTCTTTTCTCTTTCTTTTCTTTCCTTCCTTTTTTCCTTCCTTCTTTCCATTTTTATTTCTTTCCTTTTTTATTTCCTTTTTTTTTCTTTTCCCCCCTCTTTTTCTATTTTTTCTTTTTCTTTTTTCTCTTTTTTTCCTTTTTCTTTCTTTGCTTTTTCCTTTTTTCTCTTTTTCTCTTCTTCTTTCTTTTCTTTTTTTCCTCTTTTTCTCTTTTCTCTTTTTCGTTCTTTCCTTTTTTCTTTCTTTTTTTTATTCTTTCTTCTTTTTCCACTTTTTTCTTTCCTTTTTTCTTTTTTTTTCTCTTTCCTCTTTTAATTTTCTTTTAAATTTTATTTTGCAAGGGCAATGTTCTGCCTTGGAATAATTATCAGTTGCAGACAGCGCTATAAATCCACTCATTTTCTGTTCTGGAAAGCATTTGCAAAGAACTATGGGGAGCAAGAGTGGAAATAAAAGGCAGAAAGAAAGATGGCTGTAATTGTAATATCCTGAGGTTTGCTGAGCCCCCAAGTCTGGCTATTGGGCAGCTCTCAGGCTCGCCGCCGGCTCTCTGCAGGAAACGTAAAATCTGATCAAGTTCAGAGACGCATTGAGAGACCGCTTCAAGCAGCGCTTTATAACCGCGGCCTTTTCACATTCTTCCCCCAATCAGCCCCGGGAAAGGCTTCGTCTTCTTTATTTTATGGTTTGCAGGGAGCGCAGGAAAAAAAGAGAGAGAGAGGGAAGNAAAAAAAAAAAAAAAAGAAAGACAGAAAGAAAGAAAGGAGGGGAAAAAAACCCCACCGATATAAAAATCTCCCCGAGAGGTAACACCGGTGTCCGTCAAACACTCAAATTTCCCAGGCCACAGCCGCCAAGAACAGTCCTAAATTTGGAAGGTGAGTCCCTCGCTGGCGTCAGCGCACGATCGCAGCAGAGCAGGAGGCGGGAGCGCCGGGACCCGCCCTGGGGGAGCCTACGGGGGGAACCGCCGGGGGGTCGGGGCCGCTTTGCTGCTGTCCCCGCTGCACCCGCGGCTGGTCCCGTTCCCGTTCCCGTTCCCGTTCCCGTTCCCGTTCCCGTTCCGCGGGCGGTGGGACCGGCAGGATCGTAGCCTTGCCGCGGCTGTCCGGGAGCCGGGACAGGGCCAGGGCCAGGGCCGGGCGGTCACCGGGCTGCGGCCCCGGGACAGCGGGCGAGGCCGTGCACCCTCCGTGCGGCTCCGCTGAGCCGCTACCTGCCTGCACTGCGCCGTGTCCTCAATTACCTCCGCACGTGTTGGGTGATCTCGACAACAGCGTACCCCCAGAAAAAAACAAAACAAAACAAAAAAAGAAAACAGAGAGAGAAGGAAAGACAGAAAGAATGAAAAAGCGCGCGGGGGGAGGGGGGTGCTAATTCAATTATTCCCGTCAGCTGAATGCAGGGGAGGGCAGCGCCTCTGATGTCGCCGAAGCGCCGACCTGGGGCGACGGAGGGCGACTGACCCCACGTGTGGCGTTGTGTCCCGGAGGGGTGGGACGAGTCGGGGCCGGGCCGGTGGCCGGGCTAAGCTGAGCTGCCGGCCCAGGTGCGCCCCGCGGAGCTGCGGCTGCCCCGACCGGAGAGGAGCAAGGGTGGCTACACGGCCAGAGAAGCTTTAAAAAAATTGTTTCTTGCCTAAAAAAAAACCTTTCCGCGTCGGCAACGGCGGGATCACGGGGCTTCGGGAAAAACATCCCGGGGGCTTGGGGTTGGGGACTAAAATGCAGCAATTGTAGCTTTGGACGAAGATTCGCCGTTTCGGCAGGGTTTTGGTGGCCAGAGCTCTGCCTTGAAGCTGTGAACCCGTGTACCTGCGGATCGGGCTACATCAGTTAACCTATAAATCTCTTTTTATATGTTTCCCATTTCTACTCTATCAACTTTGCCTGGGCGTGTGCACCCGGCAGCATCCGCACTGGCTTACTGTCACTATTTACACCGCACCGCTTCCTGAGTGGAATTTGCCAATTTGGGGAGCAAAAATTGTAGAAAACGCTTTTACTATTTTTTTT